GTCTCAGTGTCGCTGATGCTGTCGACGCTGTCGAGGGCACAAGTGCTGTTCGGTGAGAAAAGGGTCATATCTTCCAGGCTCAGAAGCTGACATTGCCAAGCAAATAAGATATTAATCTTTGCTGGTATGCGGAATAGAACAACGAATACCCACCTTTTGTGGTCTTGCCTTTGCGAGAGATATGCTCTGTTGGACTGTCTGAGATCTCGCCGTCAGTGAGAATCTCAACGGGGTCTTGCTACGAAGCAGCTGCACGTTGTGCAAATGAAGATCCACGAACACGGCGTTCTTAACCTGCTGACGGCCTGCTAGAGATCTTTGCCTTACTCTTATTTTAGTGCCTGCAAAGAGACTCCAAAGCCTGTCCCTCGCCATAATCCCTGCGTGTGCCTTCTTCTGTTTGATCGATGCTCGCAGAGTCTTTGATGGCTTGCAGGAACTTGTTGAACTTAAACTTTGAGTCCACCAAAGATTGCAAGTGAGCGAAATCCTTGCCTTGCACTATCATATATTTGATGGTGGAGAGCAGGGTTGTCTGCTTCTTTGGCAGCTTGGGGTTCTCTTGGCCATCATATTGTATGCGTGCGTCAGCCCTGGTTAGAGTTGAGTGAAAAAGGTTATATCTGAACGAATACACAGTATATACTATGCTGAATAGATGGCTTCTTAGCTGTCACTAGAAGCCAAACAAGGATAGTAGTACAAAAATATTGCTGTTAGGGCAGTTACGGCTACTTGATTGCTCTCAGATGTGAGCTCGTTGATTGCCTTAAGCAGTTGACCTTGAGAAAAATCATTGTTGCAGATCAATTGGAAGAATGGCACAAGGACTTCAATGGTGCATGTCTGCCAGCTTGAGATACAGACAATTGTCGTGGGGAAAGGACTAGAGTTAGAACTGGTGGGGTGCAAGGGCCACCTGTGAGACAAGTAATCAGCAGAAATTGATCTGCGTACACTCAAACACTCACTTGTGCCATTTGAATACACTCAATATGTTCTCACTACCCAAGACCACCAACCTAATATCTTCTGCCAGCATGGATCATTTGCCACTCTGGTGAAGATCTTTCGGCATCGTTTGGGCCAGCAGTGTTGCAGGACAAGTGGACGGTGAGTGCACCTGTGAGCGTGCAGGCTAAGTGAATACAATTTAGCAAACTGGTGCCTGCTGTTTGTTTGCTACTTTGACCAACATTACGCCCTCTCACCTTTCCCCTTATTCTCCTCTCATCATAAGCTGCAATATCCTTTGTATCCTACTGTTTAAGCTATATGCGGTCTTTTTCAGCAACTAGCAAGGGCGGAAAAGGTGTGAAGAAGATGACATTCCTCAAGCCATAGAAAGACAGGTTCAACAAGATCACTACGATAAGCGGGGTGATATCAAAGACTTTAGGACCCAGAGCACTTGTTAAAGAGAAGAAATAAATGGAGCAGTGAATGCAGACCATCCTTGCAGGTGAGTTTTCAGTGTCCCTCTCGTGATATGGCCTCGCTGAGAGGCATGTTTCGCCATGTTAGGATATAGCCAGGAAACCATCAATCTCATTTAACAAGGCACACAAAAAGATTGTCAAATGGACGTTGACCTTGCTACACAAGACGGCTTGGAACAGCTTGGTATTGATCAAGACGGTGTCAACAATGGAATGCCCACTGCTCCAGAGTTCAACATGCCATTCATGATGTGCTACGGTCTCAGTAAGTTATTTGCTCAGGGGACTTTGCTCTAACTGACAATGCATGCAGATGGAAATCCCACTGGTTCAAACAAATATGACGATGGCAACAATGACAGCTCCGCAAAGAACCTTCGTAGAGCCCTCTTCTTGACTCTTTCACCGACCGGCTCCTTCATTGGAAGTACCCCACCTTCAGAGCACTCACCAAGTATGGTAGAGCCAGCCACACCTTGCACTGCCAAATTATCATCCTCCGAGCCGGACTTAGCATCAGTACCACCAGGTGATGCACGTCAGCATATTGACAGCTGCAAAACCCAGCTGCGAGCAACCGCAATCCATGTATCATGTCAAAGTCTACAACCTCTTCAACCTGCAAAAGGATATCACTGTCTTTCACTCTGCTGACAGCTTCTCACCTGCTCTCAATCTTCTTAGGCACGGACCCTCACGACAACATCTAGACGGCCTGAAGTGGCCATCTCCATGACCTTGGACCTTTTATACCAGCTCTGTGAGCAAAAACCTTCATTTAGTATAAAAGCATTTGCAAAGGTCATATGTGATTATTACATGATACGTCTTGGCATTTCAACTTGTTTATACCTGACTGACATCGCGCACAGATCCCGTACCGCAACATTCTCCACAAGGTGTTCGTGGATACCTTTGAAGTGTACCTCCGCATCACTTGCATAGTAAAACAATGGCTACAAGCTGTTCTTGGATGAAACAGCCCAGACTGGCAGCTGTTAAATTCCTGCCATGCTTGCTGCTACAAGGTACAAGTATTGTGCCTTTACACCCATGCAAATCTCACCATCAACCTAGCTAAAAAATGAACCCTCTCTGTCCTTCAGCCAACTGTAGTCTTTCAATGGTAATAATAGCCTCAAACAAATGGCAACAGTTGCAATACGGGTGACAGGTGACAGATGACATGCGAGTCCTCAGCAATAGCTTCTACTAGCTGCCTACATCATATGTCAACTATTTCACAAACGAGGTTGCAGGTTGTAAATCGCAGGAATCAAGTGTTAGTTGGCATCAATTTCACCTTGCCTCTAAGAATGGCAAGAATGAAGATGAGGGTGACAGTTGGGAGGATGTTGACGAGACTGAAGAAGATCCCACAGATGGCGTCGCGCTGACGCTACGAAACAAAGCTCTCAAGAGACATAAAGCCAATGACAGCAGCAGACACACTGCCACTGTTCCAACCACTCTTGCAAGCAATGCCACCACACTCATTAGCAATCCTCAGGCTACTGCACTTCCTAGCAACATGAGCAACTCCACAGCACTTGCCGGCAACACAGATGCTACTGACAGAGTACAAGCCACGCTCTTGCATAGGCTTCTTGAGCAGTGTGTCAATAACTGAAAAGCAGCTGCCGCGGAGTCAAAGAAGAAGATGTGGAAAATGTACAATGAGTCAGGGGTATTTGCCTCTGCATGCCATCATGGCTTTATTTTATAGCTGTGTAACATGGTGCGCAGTGGTGAATTGTCAGTATCTCGCTTTTTTCAGCACATATCTTATTGACCACACTTGTACAGAGCTAAATATCCACTGGCCATTGTCACGAAGGTCCTCGAAGTGATGCTCAATGACTGGCTCACCAATTATGACTTTGGCTGTTCCATGGAAATAACTGTCAAGAACAGCACCCTCAGTCCAGAGTACACCCGAAAGCATGTGCACATGTGTGTGAATGTATTCCACAGCTATTCACACTCTCACGTCTGTCAACTGCACTTTCACCCGAACGTCATAGAGGGCACCGGTGTCAAAGACTTTGAAACCATGGAGTGAATCTTTAGCACATCGAACAATCTTGCCCCTGTTATTTGATACGCCTCTGCTTACCACCGTCGGCTTCTAACAGAGGCATGGTTCAAGCAATGGAACATCAACAAGTGCTAAAATACCGGTGATTTCATTCTCGACAACTATACGCAAGTGCTGAAGATTATTGACATTGAAGGCCAGGCTCTTGGGCACAGCATAGACCAGCAAAGAATTGCTGTAGGCAATATCACTTGATGGCGTGACAAAGAGCTCACATACTTCACTATGCTGGGTAATAAGCCAGAGTATGATGTCTACACAATGTTGTACGTCGAGCTGCTCTAAAAGCTTCATAACCCAGAACTGAGGCTTCAACGGGCACAAAATACCTTTCTCACCTATATGCTCTCAACAGACAAGCAGACCTACAGCTGTGATATTACACTAACATGCAGGCTGGAAACAAAGCAACAGGTTGTGGCAGAGCAATACGACCACACTAGCACGGAGATCATTGACCTCAAAATCAAGATAGATATTTAGGAACACTGGGATCTGACAATGTCCACTTACCAAGAAGCTCTCAAGTACATTCACAAGCGTATGTACTAATGTGCCCTTGACAAGCTTCATCAGCTAGTTATGCTGTGGCTCTTTAAGCTCTAGAAGCTCAATGTCTCGCATATCAGTAGGTGCTCTATACCCATACATTTAACTAACGCTTAGTGTTGCAGGTTATAAGATGTGCACACATATTGCAGAGTTGCTTCAGGTTTGCTCCAATATGATCAAAAAAGCTATCACCAAGTACAATGCTATAGCCACAATGATGAACCCACCGCGGCCTGGTTAGAAGTCATCCACTATGCCTTTTTGGAGTTTTCACTCCTTCAAAATACCAAGAACAACCTCCGTCAAAAATTATGGGTACAGCCTGTTGCTCATGAAATGATCAAAATGTATCGGCATGTTGCTCGTGCGAACAAGGAACTAAGATGCCTTAACGTCGAGGTTTGTTGCCTGCACACTGCCATTGTCGATGATGACAGGCTGTTCAGAGCAGCTTTGATGAGCCTAGAGCATTTGCATCTCTTGTATGGTGCCATGCGTGAGTTTGCTACGTATCACTATGCCATTAACAATCACTTTCTGCGGTGCATTTTCTAAGTTTACAACTTACCTGGGTACACCAGCATCTAAGGGCCTGGTGAAGCCGAAGTCAGCATGGTTATCCAAGCGTGCCTTTTCTTTGCCCTTCCTGCAACCGCTCACCAAATCCTGCCCTTGCTACATCTGGAAAAACCCAGTTTGTTAATTTAACAGTAATTAGCAGTAATAGGTGCTCTTTCAATATTTGTAAGATATTATTTTATTCTTGCTTTGTTAGATGAGAGGCAATTAGTTAAATGAGTTTAGCCAACACACTTTATATGTTAGATACAGTAACTGCATCTTGTATCAGCTAATTTGTTTTCTCTTCATTAGTGCAAAACTTTTAGTTTGTTAAATATGTTAATTAGTTTACTGTTTGTCATAAAATGTTAAAACTGTTATTTCATTCTGTGAATACTAATTTGAAGTTCTGATTATTCCATTTTTGTTAGCTATACACTATATCTGCTAAACAGTTCACTATTTGTTCAAGTTACATTATATTTGTTAATTTGTTCTCTGAGTGTTAATCATAAGTTCTTTGTATACTATTCGTGTTAAAGATACATTATATTTGCTAATCTGCTTTCTCAATACTAATCACAAGTTCTTTATATGTTATTTTTGTAAAAGATACATTCAATCTGTTCTTAGAATGCTATTTATACACTTTTTGTATACTCTTCTTATTAGATATTTACTTATTTTCCTAAGCAATTCAGTATTTGTTAATATCATACTATAAATGTTAATCTGTTCTCAATATGTTAGCTGTAAGTTCATTGAATGCTATTCACATTAGCTACACATTATATATGCTTAATAGATCATTGCTTGTTATTAATATAATCTAATATTAATCTGCTTTTTGAATATTAATTATGAGTCCTTTGCATATTATATATATTAGCTACATATTACTTACACATATTAGTTTACTGTTTGTTATTAGTATACTATTAGTACTAATTTGCTCTGCAAATATAAGTTTAAAGTTTTCATGTTAAATGTACAAAATATTCTCTATTAAAAGAGACATCTGATATAATATTATCAATGCTTCAGCTATTATCAGTGCTTTTTAGAGATAAGTGTATGTGCATGTTTTCATTATTTAACAAATATAAATATTCCCATAGCTTAGCTATTTCAATAATGTGTTATATCTTTAATATATTATAGCAGTGTCACATAGTATAAAATTTTGCTAAAGCACAATTGTATTTGATCTTGTGAACTATAGTATTTTATAGTTCTTATAATATCTACCTATTGTCCACCCATTTTTGCTATATCTTTTGCACACTCAATATCTATATCAAAATAATACCTGAGAAAGATGCTACTAGTATTTTAGTGTAAGAGTTATATATATACTATTTAGTTTGCCAAAGTAATTTAAAATAAAGTAGCAAAACTTTGATCTTTCTTTATAGTGTTATGCATTATTTAAACGGTCATTATATATGTGGTAGTATGTATAAAATTATTTACAGTTTTACCTAGTTTTTTTTACTTTTTTGTTTTTACTTTAACTACTGTTAATAAGTTTGGTTTTGACTTGTGCTGATTTTTATTATGTGCTAATATATTTATTTATTTTAGCTTCAAATCTAATTATTGTATTTGTAGTACAAAAAAATGTAATTAATAGTAACATTAGCTAAATCTTATAAGTATTGAAAGTAAGCCATAAAAGTAAATTTAATTTGTAACATTTTATTAAACTATATTTAATAATGAAGCTGTTTTTAAAATGTATTAAAGTGTTATTTAAGCGCCAATTAAGCGTTCAAAAATACCTAGCATCTTTAAATATACAAATAGATCATTTAAAGGATTTTTTAAGTTTATATCTCATATACATTATATAAACACAAGTAGTACTATAAAATGCTAGTTTTAGAGCAAAAGATAATATATACAGCTTCTAACATCACTAACATATTTTATATACATACACTAGCATCTATGATTTTATTGCAAGAACAGCAAATTGTTTTTTTTTGCTAAATACTCGCTAATAAGCTATATATAATTGTATTTGTGTTATAGAATGTCATATTCATTCTGCACTTTATTTATTACTATATGCATACTAACAACATGTTATTTTAACCAGCACATTCAATAGCTAAAACAATAGTTGATAATCTATTGCAAAAAGCTACTGTATATATTACAGGTTGTTATATTAGCAAATGACAGTTGTATCAAATATTGTACATCTAGCATTATATACAAAGGCAACAGTTATATTTAGACCTAGAAGTGTGAATATGTGTTAAACTTCTAGATTGCACTTAGAAATTATTTGTAAGTTGTTAGCTGAGTGTATATAGAAATCTTGAAGTGTATAGTTTATGTGAACTTTATGGCTCAGTGGTTAAAATGTGCATGTTTCAATAAATAGCTTGAAAGTAGTAACATTGGGGTTCAATTTTCATTGGGGCCATTCTTTTTTTCTTTCTTTTTTCCTAAATATTATGCTTGTACAGAGCTATCAATATGTTGTGTAGCATATGAAATCTGTATAGAATTAAATTTGAGTTTGGTACATTGATTTTGAAGCTAAGAATACTGAAATAACAGCCTA